CACTATCCTAGTAGCCGCGGCGCTGACGTGTCACCACCCGCGGCATTCTACTAGTGCAGTAGCCAGGCGCGCTGTATCCACTATCCTAGTAGCCGCGGCGCTGACGTGTCACCACCCGCGGCATTCTACTAGTGCAGTAGCCAGGCGCGCTGTGTCCACTATCCTAGTAGCCGTGGCGCTGAGGTGTCACCACCCGCAGCATTCTACTAGTGCAGAAGCCAGGCGCGCTGTGTCCGCTATCCTAGTAGCCGCGGCGCTGAAGAGTCACCACCCGCGGCATTCTACTAGTGCAGTAGCCAGGCGCGCTGTGTCCACTATCCTAGTAGCCGTGGAGCTGAGGTGTCACCACCCGCGGCATTCTACTAGTGCAGTAGTAAGGCGCGCTGTGTCCACTATCCTAGTAGCCGCCGCTCTGACGTGTCACCACTTGCAGCATTCTACTAGTGCAGTAGCCAGGCGCGATGTGTCCACTATCCTAGCAGCCGCGGCGCTTAGGGGTCACCACCCGCAGCATTCTACTAGTGCAGTAGCCAGGCGCGCTGTGTCCACTATGCTAGTAGCCGCGGCGCTGACGTGTCACCACCCGCGGCATTCTACTAGTGCAGTAGCCAGGCGCGCTGTGTCCACTATCCTAGCAGCCGCGGCGCTGAAGTGTCGCCACCCGCAGCATTCTACTAGTGCAGTAGCCAGGCGCGCTGTGTCCACTATCCTAGCAGCCGTGGCGCTGAGGTGTCACCACCTGCAGCATTCTACTAGTGCAGTAGCCAGGCGCGCTGTGTCCACTATCCTAGTAGCCGTGGAGCTGAGGTGTCACCACCCGCGGCATTCTACTAGTGCAGTAGTAAGGCGCGCTGTGTCCACTATCCTAGTAGCCGCCGCTCTGACGTGTCACCACTTGCAGCATTCTACTAGTGCATAGCCAGGCGCGCTGTGTCCACTATCCTTGCAGCCGCGGCGCTTACGGGTCACCACCCGCAGCATTCTACTAGTGAAGTAGCCAGGCGCGCTGTGTCCACTATCCTAGTAGCCGCGGCGCTGACGTGTCACCACCCGCGGCATTCTACTAGTGCAGTAGCCAGGCGCGCTGTATCCACTATCCTAGTAGCCGCGGCGCTGAAGTGTCACCACCCGCGGCATTCTACTAGTGCAGTAGCCAGGCGCGCTGTGTCCACTATCCTAGTAGCCGTGGCGCTGAGGTGTCACCACCCGCAGCATTCTACTAGTGCAGTAGCCAGGCGCGCTGTGTCCACTATCCTAGTAGCCGCGGCGCTGAGGTGTCACCACCCGCGGCATTCTACTAGTGCAGTAGCCAGGCGCGCTGTGTCCACTATCCTAGTAGCCGCGGCGCTGAGGTGTCACCACCCGCAGCATTCTACTAGTGCAGTAGCCAGGCGCGCTGTGTCCACTATCCTAGTAGCCGCGGCGCTGAAGTGTCACCACCCGCAGCATTCTACTAGTGCAGTAGCCAGGCGCGCTGTGTCCACTATCCTAGTAGCCGCGGCGCTGAGGTGTCACCACCCGCGGCATTCTACTAGTGCAGTAGCCAGGCGCGCTGTGTCCACTATCCTAGTAGCCGCGGCGCTTACGGGTCACCAACCGCAGCATTCTACTAGTGCAGTAGCCAGGCGCGCTGTGTCCACTATCCTAGTAGCCGTGGAGCTGAGGTGTCACCACCCGCGGCATTCTACTAGTGCAGTAGTAAGGCGTGCTGTGTCTACTATCCTAGTAGCCGCGGCGCTGACGTGTCACCACCCGCAACATTCTACTAGTGCAGTAGCCAGGCGCGCTGTGTCCACTATCCTAGTAGCCGCGGCGCTGAGGTGTCACCACCCGCGGCATTCTACTAGTGCAGTAGCCAGGCGCGCTGTGTCCACTATCCTAGTAGCCGCGGCGCTGAGGTGTCACCACCCGCAGCATTCTACTAGTGCAGTAGCCAGGCGCGCTGTGTCCACTATCCTAGTAGCCGCGGCGCTGAGGGTCACCACCCGCGGCATTCTACTAGTGCAGTAGCCAGGCGCGCTGTGTCCACTATCCTAGTAGCCGCGGCGCTGACGTGTCACCACCCGCAACATTCTACTAGTGCAGTAGCCAGGCGCGCTGTGTCCACTATCCTAGTAGCCGCGGCGCTTACGGGTCACCAACCGCAGCATTCTACTAGTGCAGTAGCCAGGCGCGCTGTGTCCACTATCCTAGTAGCCGTGGAGCTGAGGTGTCACCACCCGCGGCATTCTACTAGTGCAGTAGTAAGGCGTGCTGTGTCTACTATCCTAGTAGCCGCGGCGCTGACGTGTCACCACCCGCAACATTCTACTAGTGCAGTAGCCAGGCGCGCTGTATCCACTATCCTAGTAGCCGCGGCGCTGAAGTGTCACCACCCGCGGCATTCTACTAGTGCAGTAGCCAGGCGCGCTGTGTCCACTATCCTAGTAGCCGTGGCGCTGAAGTGTCACCACCCGCAGCATTCTACTAGTGCAGTAGCCAGGCGCGCTGTGTCCACTATCCTAGTAGCCGCGGCGCTGACGTGTCACCACCCGCGGCATTCTACTAGTGCAGTAGCCAGGCGCGCTGTGTCCACTATCCTAGTAGCCGCGGCGCTGACGTGTCACCACCCGCAGCATTCTACTAGTGCAGTAGCCAGGCGCGCTGTGTCCACTATCCTAGTAGCCGCGGCGCTGAGGTGTCACCACCCGCAGCATTCTACTAGTGCAGTAGCCAGGCGCGCTGTGTCCACTATCCTAGTAGCCGCGGCGCTCACGTGTCACCACCCGCAACATTCTACTAGTGCAGTAGCCAGGCGCGCTGTGTCCACTATCCTAGTAGCCGCGGCGCTGAAGTGTCACCACCCGCAGCATTCTACTAGTGCAGTAGCCAGGCGCGCTGTGTCCACTATCCTAGTAGCCGCGGCGCTCACGTGTCACCACCCGCAACATTCTACTAGTGCAGTAGCCAGGCGCGCTGTGTCCACTATGCTAGTAGCCGCGGCGCTGACGTGTCACCACCCGCGGCATTCTACTAGTGCAGTAGCCAGGCGCGCTGTGTCCACTATCCTAGTAGCCGCGGCGCTGACGTGTCACCACCCGCGGCATTCTACTAGTGCAGTAGCCAGGCGCGCTGTGTCCACTATCCTAGTAGCCGCGGCGCTGAGGTGTCACCACCCGCAGCATTCTACTAGTGCAGTAGCCAGGCGCGCTGTGTCCACTATCCTAGTAGCCGCGGCGCTGAAGAGTCACCACCCGCGGCATTCTACTAGTGCAGTAGCCAGGCGCGCTGTGTCCACTATCCTAGTAGCCGCGGCGCTCACGTGTCACCACCCGCAACATTCTACTAGTGCAGTAGCCAGGTGCGCTGTGTCCACTATCCTAGTAGCCGCGGCGCTGACGTGTCACCACCCGCAGCATTCTACTAGTGCAGTAGCCAGGCGCGCTGTGTCCACTATGCTAGTAGCCGCGGCGCTGACGTGTCACCACCCGCGGCATTCTACTAGTGCAGTAGCCAGGCGCGCTGTGTCCACTATCCTAGTAGCCGCGGCGCTGAAGTGTCACCACCCGCGGCATTCTACTAGTGCAGTAGCCAGGCGCGCTGTGTCCACTATCCTAGTAGCCGCGGCGCTGAAGTGTCACCACCCGCGGCATTCTACTAGTGCAGTAGCCAGGCGCGCTGTGTCCACTATCCTAGTAGCCGCGGCGCTGACGTGTCACCACCCGCAGCATTCTACTAGTGCAGTAGCCAGGCGCGCTGTGTCCACTATCCTAGTAGCCGCGGCGCTGAAGAGTCACCACCCGCGGCATTCTACTAGTGCAGTAGCCAGGCGCGCTGTGTCCACTATCCTAGTAGCCGCGGCGCTCACGTGTCACCACCCGGGGGATCCTA